TCTTTGTGCAAGTTAGAGACAGCAATCCTTGCTGCTAAGATGGCATAGTCAGGATGCTTCGTAGTCAAGGTTGCCGCTGTCTCTGCAGCCAGAGTATCCAGTTCCACTGTGGTGACCCCACTGTACAGGCCTTGGATTACTTTCATGGTGATCTGAGCCTACAAAATAAAACCAACAGTTATTTCGGCTTTTTCCAAGAAACAATAGCCTCCTTGAAAAAGTAGTGAAGTACTGTGGGATGTTCTGTATGTTTAATGTGTTTCTCTGATTGGTTAATAAATAAAACACTGATGGGCCAGTAGCCAGGCAGAAAGTATAGGTGGGACAAGCAGAGAGGAGAATTCTGGGAAGTGGAAGGCTGAGGCAGAGAGACACTGCCAGCCGCCATGAGAAGATGTTAAGATACTGGTAAGCCACAAGCCACATGGCAACTTATAGATTAATAGAAACAGCTAACTAGAAGCCTGCCATGGCCATACAGTTTGTAAGCAATATAAGTCTTTGTGTGTTTACTTGGTTGGGTCTGAGTGGCTGCAGGACTGACGGGTGAGAGAGATTTGTCCTGACTGTGAGCCAGGTAGGACTAGAAAAACTTCAGCTACAGTTAAGACAACCAAAGTTATAACATACTCTCCTCATCTGAAAAACATTATTCATCCCAATGTAATAAGAATCCATAAGCCAACAACAAAACTACTGAAAATGTATCCTATACATATAAAATTAGAATTAGTGTCAGGTTTTTTGTTTTTGTTTTGTTTTGTTTTGTTTTGTTTTGTTTTTTTGAGACAGGAGTTTCTCTGTGTAGTTTTGGTGCCTGTCCTGAATGTCTCTCTGTAGACCAGGCTGGCCTCGAACTCACAGAGATTCGCCTGGCTCTGCCTCCCAAGTACTGGGATTAAAAGCGTGCGCCACCACTGGGCGGCTATAAGAATGTTTTAATTGAAATTGATTATAAATATTTTCTTGCACAGTAGTAAGCATAAATGTACAAAGAATAAAGGAAAAAAAAGCAAACACAACAACAAAAAAATCCTACAAGCACAAAGCACACATGATCAGAGGAGACAGCATGAAAAGTCTATGGAGAAAGGTCTCACTGTGACAACTGACTTATTTTTTTGAGGCAGTGTTTCCCTGAGTCTGGAGCTTGACATTCTGATATGCACCTGGGATCTGGCCCTTTCTTCGTGTGCCAAGAGCTGCGGTAACACATACTGCTATACCATACTGGCTTTTCCACATTGGTACGAAGATCCAAACTCAGGGTCTTGTATTTACAAAGCCCATCATACATTTTAAAGAAAAATAAATTCAAAGTTGTGTCTACATATTTACTAAATCTATTAAATAAAACAGCTTAACTAGTAAAGTTGGCCAAAGCATATCTCCTTCAAAGGCAGTATGAGTGAATGTAGGTGGTTACTGTGATTGTATTTATAACACAGCTAAGCTAGTTTGCTTCTAATTGTTTTCTTGACTCAAGAGGTAAGTGTGAAATCCATATAGTTTCTGATGCATGTGGTAAACAATCAGAACTTGGTCTAGCATAAAATCCATGTGCCACATCTAATAGCATCCAGACCTTTTCTTTCTTTTTTTTTTTTTTTGGTTTTTTGAGACAGAGTTTCTCTGTGTAGCTTTGCGCCTTTCCTGGAGCTCACTTGGTAGCCCAGGCTGGCCTCGAACTCACAGAGATCCGCCTGC